GCTGGCTTTCCCACTGTGGGTCTCCCATTTGGGGGAACACAAATATACATCATGTTGCATCGTGCGCACGAATCCAGGTCACTCCCGTCCCGTCCTCAGATAGCTAGGGGCTGCTTCTGGTGCCGTGGGGGGTGGGTAAGGGGCCGGGGAGGGCAGGGCAGGTAACAGAGCACGGGATGCTCTGGGAGTGCCGCGTGGCGTCGGCAGTGCTCTGTGTCCCGGTGCCTGCCTGGATCTCCAAACTGCCCTCCCTGCACCCCAGCATTCGGTTGACACTCTCACCCGATTCCAGGGCAGACCCTGCCACATCAGCCTCTCTCCTTCAGCTTCAAATTGCTCCGGGTAGAAGGGCGTCAGTCTGCCTCCACGAGGTTTGTTGGGAGACCCGCAGGAGACAATAGATGGGAACCACGTAGCTGACATTACCTGGCACGTGGAAGGCACTCAGTGAGCGGCGGCATCACCTGTCCCGCTTCTGTAATCCATAGCAGCTGGCCTGCAAATGGTCCGATCTCCTCCTCTCTCAGGCGGCTGCTCACGTCCCATCGTGTATGTGTGCCACCCCTCCTGTATCCGCTCCCCTGCTGACTGACAGCTGGGTGCTTTCCAGTCTCCTGGCTCCTGGGGAGAAAGCTGCAGTGCACAGGGGAGTGCGGACATCTCTTGGAGACGCCGCCGATCTCCGTTCTTCTGGACATATACCCAGGGGTGGGATTGCTGCATCACATGGTAGGTTTTTTGGTTTTGTAGTTCTTGGTGCTTTGGAGGGGGGCACCCTGCTGTGAACAAGCACCTGTGACAGTGTCACTTTTAACTTTTTGAGGAACCTCCATACCACTTTCTGTCGTGGCTGTGCCAGTTTGCATCCCACCGACGGGGCGCAAGGGTTCCCGTGTTCTTGCTTGCCCAGTGACACTTGTGATCTGCTGTGTTTGGTAGTTGGTGTGACGAGACCCGTCCTCACGTGTGCAGCCCGACCTCTCACTGTGGTGTTCACGTGCCTTTTGCTGATGATTGGGGATGTGGAGCCACGTTCCACATGCCTTTTGGCCACTTGTGTGTCTTCTTTGGGGAAATGTCTGTTCAGATACTTCGCCCGTTTTTACATTGGTTTGCTTGTTTTCTTGCTGTTGAGTTAGAAAAGTCCGTTATACGTGGGGAAGATCAGCTCCTTGTCAGGTAACGCAGTTTGCAAATGTTGTGCCCGTTTTGCAGATTGCCTTTTCGCCTTGTTGGTGGTTCCCTTTGCTGTGCTGAAGCTTTGACGTTGCATGTAGTCCCACTTGTCTGTTTTTGCTTTTCTTGCCGGTGCCGCGGGTGTTGATTCCACGAGATCATCACCAAGACCCGTGTCCTGCAGCTTTTTCTTTCCTCTGTGTTTTCTTTCAGGAGTTTACAGTGTGGGGTCTTATATTTAATCTTCAGTCCCCTTTGGGTTGATTTTCGTGTGTGGCGTAACAGAGGGTCCAGTGTCATCCTTTTGCACGTGGGCCTCCGGTTTTCCCAGCGCCATTTGACAGAGTGTCCTTTCCCCGTTGCGTGTTACTGGCGTCCTCGTCAAGGTCCGTTGACTGTCGGTGCCTTGGGTTTATTTCTGGGTTCTCTTCTGTCCCATTGGTCTGTGTCTGTCTTTCCGCCAGTACCGTACTGATTTACTTACTGTTGCCTGGGACTGGGTTTGGAAATGAAGAACTTTGGTACCTCCAGCTGTGTTCTTCCTCAAGGGGGCCTTGGCCGTCCTGGGTCTTGTGTTGTTCCAGATGCAGTTTGGGATTGTTTTTCTATTACTGAGAAATGCCACTGGGGTTTTGACAGGCATAGCATGGAGTCTGTCATTTTTCTTTCTAATCTTTCATCTTAAACTGTAGATGACATTGATTAATCAGTTATATGCCAGATCTGAGGATTGCCTTAGTTGGTTTCCACTTACTGAACCACCCTTGCTTTCCCGAGCTAACCCACTTGATCATGGTGTATTTTCTCTGACCAGATTGCTGGATACCACTGCTGGCATTTCGTTGAGGAATTTTGTGCTTGTGCTCAGAAAGAATATTGGTTGGTAGTTTTTCTTTTCTTGGTATCAGTGAAATTGTAGCCACAGAAATCACTTGCAGGTGTTTCCTTCGCTTAGTTTTCTGGAGGACATTGTGTAGAATTTCTGTGTGTGTCTGTTTTTCCTGTCGATACTTGGTAGAGTTCACTGCCGATACCGTCTGGGATTGTCGTCAGAGGTTTTAAACAACCGATTCAATTTCTGTAAACGATACGGAATCGTGCGTGTTATTTTGCCTTAGATAAGTTTAGTAGTTTATCGGGTTGCTAGTTGTCGCATTTATATATGTAGATTTGAATGTAATACTGCTTCTTACTTCTTTCATATTTGCTGGGTCTCTAGCGAAATGTCCTCTTTCATTCCTGCTATTGGTAACGTATTTCTTCTCTCCCTCTTTTCTCTCTTTTTCTCCAGTTTTCTTGAGACAGAATTGACACAGAGCAGCGCAGAAGGGATACAACATAATATTGTGACTTACACATACCATGAAAGGATTACCTCAGTAAGCCTAGTTGACATCCACCATCTCCTATAGATAGAAAAAGAAGAAAAAGAAAACAGGGTTTTCCTTGTGAAGAGAACTCTTGGGATTTACTGTCTAACAACTTTCATCTATACCACATGGCGGTGTTAACTAGAGTCATCATGTTGTACATTATGTCCCCAGTACTTATTTATCTTATAACTGGAAGTTTGTTCTTTTGACCGCCATCCTCTAATTTTTCCTCCCTCCCCAGATCGCCACCTGTGATAACCACAAATCTGATACCTGTTTCTATAAATGTGGGAGGGTTTTTCCAGTCCTCTGTATGAGTGAGGTCATACCGTATTTGTCTTTCTCTGATGTACTCACTTAGCATAATGCCCTCAAGGTCCATCTCTGTTGTCACAAATGACAGGATTTCCTCCTCTTTTATGGCTGAATTGTGTGTGTGTGTGTGTGTGTGTGTGTGTGTGTGTGTTTTCTTGATCCATTTACCTGTCAAGAACACCTAGATTGTGTCCCAAGTCTTGCTTATTGTAAATAATGCTGCTGTGAACGCGGGATGCCCATATGTCTTTGACATAGTAGTTCCATTTCTTTCAGATACATTCTCAGGAATGGAATGTCTGCATCATATGGTAGTTCTGTTTTTAATTTTTAGAGGAATCTCCATACCGTTTTCCATACTGACGGCGCCATTTTACAGTCCTGCCAACAATGCAAAAGATGTCTCTTTAAGACTTATTTATTTGAGGAGAGTGCACTGGGGTGGGGGGACAGAGGGAGAGGGAGACTTAAGCAGACTCCCCGCTGAGCCTGGAGCCCGATGCGGGGCTTGATTGCACGACCCCGAGATGGCAACCTGAGCCAAAACCAAGAGTCAGATGCTCAACCAGCTGCACCATCCAGGCGCCCCATGATTTCTTTATTCTCCACATCCGAGCCAGCATTCTTATCTCTTGTCTTTTTGATGCTAGCCATTCTAACAGGTGTGAGGTGATAGCTCATTGTGGTTTTGAATTGCGTTTCCCTGACGATTAGTGGTTTGGAGCAGCTCTTCATGTCCCTATTGGCCATCTGTACGTCTGCTTTAGAAAAATGTCTGTTCACATCCTCTACCCATTTTTTAAGTCAGATTACTAGCCTTTTTGCCATGGAGTTGTATGCGTTCTTTGTATATTTTGCATCTGACCCCCTTGACAGATACGTGGTTTGCAAATACCTTTTCCCGTTCCATAAGTTGTCTTTTCACCTCGTTGGTGGTTTCTTTGGTGTGCAGCTTTTTAGTTACATGTAACCCTGCTGCTTTCTTTTTGATTTTATTTTCTGTGCTTTGGGGGTCAGAGCCAAGAATTCATGGCCAAGACCCGTGTCAAGGAGTTTTTTGGTTCTGTATCCTCCTAGGAGTTTTGTAGTTTCCGGTCTTCCGTTGAAGTCTTTAATCTACTTCAGGTAAATTGTTGTGTGTCTAAGTCAGGAATCCCGCTTTCTTCTTTGACATGTGAATATTCCATTCTCACAGCACCATTTATTGAAGAGACTGTCTTTTCTCCATTGAGTATTCTGGACTCCTCTGTCAAATATTGGTTGACCATATACGCCTGGGGTCACTTCTGGGCTCTCAGTTCTGTTCCGTTGGTCTGCGTGTCGCTTTTTATGCCAGGACCACACTGTTCTGATTCCTCTGGCTTTGCCATATGGCTAGAAAGCAGGAAGTGGGATGTATCTTGCTTTGTTGTCCTCTCTGCTTTTCTTCTTTTCCTCCATCAGTCCTGTGAGAAGTGTATCCAGTTTTATTGATTATTTCAAGGAGGCAACTTTTGATGTGAGGCCCTCTAACGTGCCTTGTTAGAGATTTCATTGATTTCTGTTCTTAGGCTTTGGTAAATTCTTATTTATTCTTACAGGGGATTTTGAAATGGTTTCCACAGGCTTGAGGGTCCTTTTTAGGTAGATGAAAGCCGGTGAAAATGGAAAAGAATGTGTCCTTCCCTGTGGTGGAAATGCTTTGATTTTAGCAAAAGTCTGCTTTTCAAAGGTACACGAGCACCTAGAAGGAGAGCACATGCCAGTCACCCACGGATTGTTGTTAAAATGATGCTTGAGAACAGTCATAAAACGTCAGCAGGGAATTAGCATGGTTGACTGCAGGACATCATTCGCCCTGACAGGTCACGTGGACGCGATGGCGGATCTCACTTCTGAGACTCTGATTCTGTGCCGTCAGTATTCTGAGCTCTTGGAACCGCATTATCTCACTGAAAGCGCAGAACAGTCCTAGCGACCAGGGCTCATTACTGTCCCCGTTTCACAGATAGGAGACAGAGGCACACAAAGGTTAAGTCAGGGGAATTATAATGGGTTTTCTCTCTTCTTTTATCACCATGTGCTGCAGTCTGGGTTCTTCTGGCCGTGCACATCCCTCGCTACCTTCATCTTCTTCCTTCCTTCCTTCCTGTCTAGACCCAAGGACCAGGTGGCGCTGCGAGCACCGACTACACCTCCATGGATCCAGTCCAGAAATGTTTTAACTCCACGTTGACTCCTGAATCTTCCCCAGTGATCTCTGAAGAGACTTCGCGGGAAGTCACAGCAGCCTCCCCTCCTTCCTTCTCAGAACTGCTGATGATGGGCCTCGGTGACCTCAAAACCGGTGCGGGCACAAAACACCCTGCCCCTCTGCCAGAGGGGCTGCTCCAGCAGCGGTACAGGGATGAGAAAACCCTCCAAGAGAGGCGGTGGGAAAGGTCAGCGTCCCCTCAGAGGAAGAGAACCCTTCTGGGGCACATGAGACGGCGACACCTCGATCACGTGGCACCTTACCGGGTCGAGAGGAAGGCCAGGATCTCTTCCTTGGGGGACAGAGATCAGAACAGATTCAGATGTGAATGTCGATACTGCCAGAGCCACAGGCCCAGTGTCTCTGGGATGCCTGCAGAGAGGAAAGGGGCCCCGCATCCTTCCTCCTGGGACACACTGGTGCAGGGCCTCAGTGGCTTGACCCTCAGCCTGGGGACCAGCCGGCCCGGCCTTCTGCCCGATGGGGTGCTCCAGCAGCAAGAGAGAGAGGAGAAACTCCAACGGGAGATGCAGCAGGAAAGCAAAAGAATGTTCCAGAGGCTCCTAAAGCAGTGGTTGAAAGAAAACTGAGGCTCTCGTCCTCGCGTGACAGAGATCGCAACGGAGTCAGAGGTGGAGGCTGGTGTGGCCAGATCCTGAGCGTGGAATCCTTTTGGGGACCAGAGACTAAGCACTCAGGGAAGTCAGAGAAGGAACAAGAGCAGCGTGAGGACTGGACACTCTGTCCGTGTGAGCATGGATCCAATCCCGGGAAGGTCCTGCTCTTCCCTGCCTGGAATTTCTGGATCACCGTGGGGCTTTCTAGGGGATGCTGCATACCAGGGGTCCTTAACTTCTGTATCACGGCTCCCATGATGCATGTTGTCCCTTTCCCACCCCGGATCTCTGTCTCTCCTCCCTGCCTCGTTGTCAGTAAGATGTAGGGTTTCTCTGTAGCATGAATGCCCTGGTGACGGCCATGTGCTTTTGTGCCGTGTCACTGACTGCCTCCCAGAAGCAGCACTAGGTCTGCTGGGATGCCTGGGCGCTCAGCTGGGCTCCGCTTCCAAGAATCTGACGCTAAGCCAGGCGCGGAAAGGGACGTAGAACTGGCACGTGGTGGTTCACCATTGTGTTCTCTGTGTAAGCCATCGCGAATGTGCTGAGCTAACTGTAGGTCCACAGTTCCCTGCTTCGTGACATTGATAGTATTCCCCTGGGCGGAATTTCTGACGGGTTCCCTCATCACGCATACCAAATAAATACACGTATGAAAGGAAAATAGCTGTGGAGTTCTGGTTTCTCGATCCCTGTTGCTTTCTGCTTTGTTAGATCTGAGATCATGACATTTAAATCCTAGAGCAGCCGATCACGCTTTCTCAGGAGGAGAACTCTGAACTGTACGGCTTCGCAGCAGGGGCTGGGGAGGGCACCCGGGGACAGCATCACGTCACCGTTTGCGGCCCTGCGGTGGGACCAGCCTTCACATCATCCAGGAGCAAGGGGAAGAGAGCCTCCCTGCCCACAGAGAGCAGGAGGCAGCGTCCGCTGCCCACGGTAGGAGATCCCACGGGATGGTGCCGGTTCCCCTGGCCTTAGGATCTTCAGGTGCCACTCCTCCTCCGTTGCCTGGTGTCGCTGGGTTGGTGCGTGGGAATACCAGTTCCGGGCCTGCTGCGGGACAACCAGAGCATCGTTCAGTTACTGAAGAGTCATTCTGGGATTTAAACAATGTGCCTTTGCAGTTCAGGAGGCATGAAGGAATCCATCTACCTTCCTTCCCCAACACACACAACACACACAACACGCACACACACACGATCCAGTGCTGTGTACCCAAGAAGTGCCCGTGCAGTTCCTCTGAATGGACGGTAAATTGCTTTCTTTCGGGCTCTGTGTTTAGGTAGCGCCCGGAGCCGGGTTGTTGCTGTGAGTCTCCTGCAGAGGGAGGTGACTTGAGCACAGGTATGTTTCCTATGTTCTGAACTTGGGATCTTGTCCACAGCTTAGGAGCTCATCTGACCCTGCCAGGGTTGTCTGCCACTTGCAGGGAGAAGGTAAATAAAGCAAGACTTTTCTTTTTTCTTTTCTTTTTTTTTTTTAGATGATTATTGATTTATTTATTTGAGAAAGAAAGAACATGACTGGGGAGCAGGTAGGGGCCGAGGAGAGAGAGAAGTCCTCTCCCTGCTGAACAGGGAACCTACCACGGGGCTCGATCCCAGGACCCTGAGATCGTGACCTGAGGCAAAGGCAGACGCTTAACCGACTGAGCCACCCAGGTGCCCTCAAGCAGGACTTTTCTTTCCCGAATCTCTGAGGCCTCTGTGCAGACTGGTCATTTGGGGTGTGGTGAGCAGGAGTAACATGGCATTTCCCTTTATTGGTGGTGTCCTAGCTATCAGACAACATGCTACATATTTCCGTATCTCAGCTTATGTAATCCGCTGCCAAAGACCCTTCGTGGAGCAAGACCTCAATCTCGGTGGGTGGGCGGGGAAGCAGAGCACAGACAGGTGAGGTGACTCGCTCGGTGTCATGCAGGCACCGAAAGGGGGAGTGGCACACAAACCAAGGTGAACCGCATTCAGAGCGGGCACTCTCCACCCGCTGACCACCTGTAACCTCCATAAAGGCTGCGGGTGAAGTGCGGAGAACCGGTGACTTGGCTGGATGTTTCCCAGCTGCAAGCACCAGGTCTTAACAAGGTGCATCTTAGAGTCCTATGCAGAACGCTCGGGGGCAGGGCCGGTCTTCCCCCACCCGGCAGAGTTCACAGAGACAGGAACGAGGTGGCCTCACCCCAGCAGCCATGCCAGCCACCATCAGATGCAGAGCCACTCGTGAAGGTTTCCTTATCTCCCTTGCCTCCCCGACTCTGTGCTAGGCTGCCTGCTGGGGCGGGGGAGTCGGGAGTCATGGCGACATGGTCCCGGCCCTCGGGAACTTGAGCCTTTAATCAGGGAGAGCTGTGACACCCAGACGTGTGGCGAGAGCCGTCCTGGATCCCCAGTGCCGCTGTCTGGCCGCGAGACGAGAGGAGCGAGGAGGATCGGGCTGGGGCCCTGTGAACCTGGGGCTTGCTGAGGGTGCTCCTAACCACAGACCTGGGGGCACATGGAGAATGGGTGGGTGGGTGTACCTGAGGGACTCACTGGTGCTGCCCCATCTCCACCTCAAAGGCATGGTCCCCTTGCCTGCGTGTACGAGCATCATCCGAGGGTCCCATTTGACACGGCATACGGTCCCCAAGATCCTGACTGGGAGCCAGGATCCAGCGACGTCTAGAAATGTTCAGCATGCCAGGTTCCAGACCAGAGACAGAGGCAGAGCCGTGGGGAGGCAAGAAAATATGGGGAGAGAATGGGGGTGAAACAGAAGGCTCAAAGACAAAATCTGAATGGACCTACTGCAAGTAAAGAAATGGAATTTGGGAATTAAAAGCCTTCCCAGGCCGCCTGGGTGACTCAGTGGATCGAGCCTCTGCCTTCGGTTCGGGTCGTGGTCTCAGGGTCCTGGGATCGGACCCCGCATCGGATTCTATGCTCGGCGGGGAGCCTGCTTCCCCCTCTGTCTCTGCCTGCCTCTTTGCCTACTTGAGATCTCTCTCTTTCTCTTTCTCTCTCTCTCTCTGTCAAATAAATAAAATCTTTTAAAAACAAAAACAAAAACAAAAAAACCTTCCCACAGACAAAAACCCTGCCTGGACCAGCTCTGTCAATAGCCTCCTTGGTGAATTCTGTTCCACTGTAGGAAGTGATCATAGCCTTGCTTCATAGACTCTCCCAGAATAGACAGGAGGACGGAAGACTTCCTAACCCAGCCTACGAGGACAATACTACCCTGCTACTGAAGCCACGCAGGACAACACAAGAAATGTATAGACCGGTATCCGTCGTGACTATCCACACGACATTCCTCACCAAAATGGCATACCAGATCCACCAGCATTTACAAGGGAGCGTGCAGCTACCCAAGTGAGACTTATCCCAGGGTAGCAACATTGCTTTAGCATTCAAAATACGATTAAGGTCAACACCATCATGGTATAATGAGGACAGAAGCCATGTAGTTGATCATCTCGATAGACAAAGAAGAGACATCTGACAAAATTCAAGATCCATTCGTGATAAAAACGCTCAGCCGACTAGGGCTAGAAAGGCGCGTCCTCCCTCTGGTAAAGGGTATGTAGAAGGAAAAATGAGTCTCATGTCACATACCGTATTGAGGAGTGAAAGAATGAATGCATTCCTTCTGAGATCCGGACCAGGACGAGGAGGCTGGGTCCCGTCGTTTCCTTCCAACACCGACTGAAGTTTCCGGCCGGCGCAGTCATGCGAGACAAAGAATGAGGACGTGGAGAGACTGGTAACGGAACGTATGTCCAAGCACGGGCTTGCACTCAGACGTTCCCGGCAACCAAGGGGAGACCGTCTAAAAGTCTCTGTCAACTGGTAAAAGGATAATCGGACTGTGGCCTACCCTGGCAGTAGATGCCACTGGTCTGTGGGGACGGATGACCCGATGTCTGCAGCAACGTGGATGAGCCTCCATAGTGTGTGGCCAAGTGAAAGAACACGGACACACAAGCCCACTCTTGAAGCTTGAGTCCGTTTACAAGAAGTGCCCAGAAAGGGCAAACCTACAGGAGATAGAAATTACCTTAGATGTTGCCTCGGCCTGGAGGCAGGAGTGGGACCTGAGTGCTGACGGGGACACAGGGTCCTTCTGGAGGGACAGAGATGTTGTACAACTGAATCGTGGTGAAGGCTGCACAACTCCGTAAATCTACTACGAGTCCCTGCATGGGAGCCTTTAACTGGGGGAACTTTGTGGTATGTAAATCTTAGCCTTTATTTAGCTGGTGCAGCCAAATCTGGAGAACAGTATGGGGTTTCCTCCCAAAGTTAAAAATAGAACTGGCCTCCAATCCAGCAGTCGTACTACAGGCATTTGACCAAAAATAGAAAAACACAAATTCGAGGGGTACATGCACCCCTGTGCTTATAGCAGCATTGTTTACGATGACCAAAGCATGGAAGCAGCCCAAGCGTCCATGGATAGGGGAAGGGATAAAGAAGATGTGTGCGTATATACAATGGAGTATTATTCAGCCATAGAACAGATGAAATCTTCCCACTCACACAAACACAGAGCTGGAGAGTACGATGCTAAGACAAGTATGTCAGAAGAAAGACAAGTTCCGTATGATTTCACTCGTGGAATTTAACAACAACAAGAAAAAAAAAAAACAAGCAAAAAAGAGAGAGACAAACTCATAGCTATAGAGAACAGACTGATGTTAACTGCAGAGGAGGTGGGTGAGGGGAGCAGTGAACTGGCTGACGGGGATTAAGGAGTACACTTGTCCTGATGAGGACCGGGTGACGTGTGGAATCGCTGAATCACTGTACTCTGCGCCTGAAACTAATATAGCACTATGTTAGCGATGCTGGAAGTAAAATTGTAAAAATCACTGGTAATTTAAAAAAAAAAAAAAACAACAACAACAACAAAAAAAAGAGGGACAGACGCTGGCACTCCATCCCCAGGGAGTCTGAAGTAGGGAGTCTGGAATGTGGCCTCAGCGAGAGCATGATTTGGAAACTCCTATGAAGACCTAGTTTGCAGCTGTGGGAACAGAACCATCCTTAAGGTGAAAACCTCAAGTCAGAAATTGGAGACTCCCCTTACAAGGCAAGCAGGTTTTCGTCTTCACCCGCTGGGGTTGGCAGATCTCACAGGCTGTGAGGAGAGGCAAAACCCGTCAAAGTAAAGCTGGGCTTTAAAACTGTCATTGTATTTGCTGCTCTCCAAGTTCCGGAAAACCAAAGCTTGAAGTTAAAACCCTGGATTTGCTCATGAAACATACAAGACTTTTCATTTCCTGTCAGGATCCCTTGTGCTTAGCTACTTTAAAATGGGAGAAGACATTGTATAGATAACTCCATCAGACAGATTTCAGTAATTCTTTGAAAATGCGTTGGCTGAGATTTGTATCTGTTGATGGAGATGGCTCAGCTGTCAGGCTTAGCTGCCAAGTTTCCTGAGTTGCGTTTTTAACTTCCTTTTATACTTTATGTTCTCAAACTCATTCCCATGCTCAGATAAGAGCCCTAACGGGTTGAGGTATTTAGGATGAAAAGTAAATTTGAGCAATCCCTTGTTTCTTGCTCACCCAAGGACACGAGTCTCCCCAGACATTCTCTTTGAGAGATTGCTTCCGGATACTCAACTCCACATTGCAAATCCCGCGCTTCCTGCTATGCCTCC